GCTGTTACTTGTCTCACAGAGCAGGCTGGAACCTCAGCAACCGCTTGCATCAGCAGATGACGCCTGAATGAACCACTGAGCCCAGGAGAACTTTTGAGCATGTAAAATGGGCTATCTGTGCCTCCACGGAGCCTCAGGCTCCTCTGGAGCACAGCACGTTTGCCCAGGCAGTGCTTTGCAGTGCCCTGCTTGTTTCCTTGCCTCTCAGGTGTCCCTGCTGCAGTCACAGCTGGCCCGAGACCGACAGCACCACCAGCAGAACTACATTGAGAGCTGTTCAAGGACCAGCCAGGAGCTGTCAGACCTTCACCAGGAGCTGTCCTGCTCCTTTGCAGCTGTGCTCAAGGAGCCCAAAGCTGCTCTTGTGGAAGCAGAGACTTGAAGCTGCATCAGTCTCTGAATCTTAACTTGGCAGGGACATCCTTGGGCCATCAGTCTCTGGAGAGACAGGCCCTGGAGAAGGCAGGTGCAGCTCTTGTGCACAGAGGATTTGTGCCCTGCTCAGAAGGCAGTTCCTGTCAACTGGGGCACAGAAATCCTCCCTAGGACACAGACAAACACTATCAAAGATGAGGGCAAAAAACACCTGCCAAAGCTCTTCCAAGCAGACCCATTTGGTTCTTGAAGGTCTGTTCCTAGTGAGGAATCTTTGATGTAAGCAGCAGGATTTTTCTTCTGCCTAGAAGACCTAGTGATATATTCGCAAACAGAGAGCAGAGCAGGAAAAACATGCACTTGTGGCTGTCTCAGGATTCTTAATCCATTTTATGAGCTGACGCTGCTCTTGGCCGCCCCGGAGCTCTGGGCTGGCTCCACAGTGCCCAGGGTCCAATGGGAGCTCGCGGAGGGAGGGGTAAGGGGAGGAGGTTACAATACCAGGGACCAATGGGGATACAAAGAAGGCGGGAATACAACATAACAACCAATAGTGTTTTGAGGAAGGGATGACATACATGGAAGGAGCTGGAAGGAGAGGTGGGGTTTACAGGGATGGATGGGGAGCTGGGGCAGGGTAAAGGTGATTGACGGGGAACATTCAGAAAAACTGGGAGGGGTTTACATGACAGACAAATGGAACCAACCAAAGCAGTAAATGGGAGACAACCAGGAACATATCAAACAGACGAAATACTAACAATTTTAACAGAACTGAATAAACATACTACAACAATGAGCCTTAAACACTGCAGCTCTAGGCATTTCTGTGTAGGAATTTGAAAAGTCCCTGAAACACCATTTTTCCTCCTCAGGTGGCTGTCCTAAAGGCAAAGCTTTACTTTCCGTGAATATTTATAAACACCAAGAACCTTTTTAGGATTTTTCTTACATCTCCCCTTGGTCAGAGAAGACAGGAGAATTCCTGTGACTCAGGAACTAATCGCATCCCAGAAGAGCATGTGGGTCTTGAGAATGCTGAGCCTTAAAACTGGTGCTGCCTGGAGCAGCAACTTGGAACTCATGTTATGAGCCAGGTCCCTGCCCAGCTGCCCAGCTTGGGCTTGGACCTTGTGACGGCCAACAGCACTTTGATCGTGTGCTAGTGACCCTGCAAAGGCCAAGAACGTTTGAATATTTGGGTTAGGACCCGGCAAAGGCCAAAAGCCTTTGGACACTGGGGTTAAACCCTGCGAAGGCCAAGGGCCTTTGGACACTGCACTTTGGACACTGTTTGTGCCAAGGAGCGGATGGACACGCGACGGGTGAGTGAGAAAGCCACTGCTCTCCTTGTGCCAAGCCCTGCAGGGGCCTGGGTGGGCCTGGGCTGTGCCTCAGGGAAGGCTTCCCTCTGGGAATAGCAAGGGTTTAACAGTTGCTGTTCCAGAGCTCCACCAGCTTTGGTGCTTGCTGTAATAAAATATGTTTGTTCATTAAAGTATGTTGCTTGTTGAGTAGGATGTGGTTACTATAATGGAAATGTTTGTTCATTAAAGTCTGTTTGTTCAATGTTCGTGGTTAGCTTTTTGTAAAGGTTAATACGTTTGTATGAGTGGTACTTTCCAGAGTGGTACTTTCCAGAAACCAAGAGAAACAGAAGATGCCCTGGCAACAACCTTAAAGCATGCGCAGATTACTCCGGAAAAATTGCAACGATAGGCTCGTGAGCGGCTTAAAAGGACCGACCGGAACCCCAGTCAGCGCGGCAGTTGGAAGGACGGAGTTCCCCTGTCGCCCAGCGCTGCATTGCCTCTTTGTTTTGCTTGTTCCAATTAATAAGTCTTTGATTGGCTTTCTCGACTCTTGTTAATTAATAAAATCTATAACACTTGCTGTGGAGACAGGCCTGGGAGGGAATGGGGGGCACCTGGCCATCCCAGAGCACAGCCACATCTCCTCCTCCATCCTTGTCCAACGGGAGGGGCCATGGGCACAAACAAGGGTCATCACCTTCCCCTCAGCCTAATTTACAGTGCAGCCTCAGCGCTTCCCAGAGACAAACTGGGGTTTCTCTCAGACATTTCTGAGATGATCCCCAGTGGCCTAGGGGAGGCCATGGGGATAACAGGAAGATGCTCCAAGGGCTGGAGCACCTGTGCCAAGGGCAAAGGAGGCAAGAGTTGGGGTTGTCCAGGTGGGAGAAGGTTCCAGGGTGCTCTTAGAGGCCCTATCAATGCATGAAGGAAGGGCCTGCAAGAGAGCTGGACAGCAACTTAAGGCAGGGGCCTGCAAGGACAGGACGAGGGAAAATGGCTTCCCACTGAGACAGGGCAGGGATGGATGGGATATTTGCAGGGAATTCTGCCCTGTCAGGGTGCTGGGGCCCTGGCATATGATGCCCAGGGAAGCTGTGGCTGCCACTGGATCCCTGGGAGTGTTCAAGGCCAGGTTGGATGGGTCTCTGGGCAACTCCCGTTTTGGTGTCCTTACAAATGATGAGACACATTCCAGCATGTTTGTTTGTGCTTCTGTCAAACTAGTGGGCTGAAAATATTCCCAAGAAGGGGAGGAAGAGCTCAGCTGGAATTGCTGCGCTCTGGGACAGGCTGGGAAGCACTTAGATGCGACTGGGCAGGCATGCAGTCTGAGTGTGCTCTTCCCTGTGCTCTTCCAGGGAGCTCGAGGTCTTTCTCACCAGGGACAATCCTCCCGAGCCCCTGAGGTGAGTAAACTGTGCTGAGCTGGCTGGGATTTTGAAACTGAATGGACACTGGTTCTTGTGGGATCAGAAGAGGCATCTCAGTGGTCCTTTGGAATAGGAAGAGAATGCCTGACTAACAGCTGGATGTGGACTTTCAGGCACTGACAGACGACAGTGACAGCATGGCCCATTCCATCGTCTGCACTGACAATCCTGGCAGCATCCTCTCAACTCTGACATCCACGGATAAACAGGATCCCTTTGCATTGCTTCGGGAAGTCTCAGGGAATTGTGGGCGCTTGCAGGAACATATTGGTCAAATGGACGAGGAAACCCAAACGGTCACAAGCCGCTATCAGCAGATGGAGGATCTGATAGAAGAAATCAGAGGGTGAACATTTCCTCCTCCTCCTCCTTCCTCCTCTTGCATTCCAGATGCAATCTGCTTCCAGGTCTGGGAGTTCAGAGGTTCCTGGGTGAAGAAATCACCTGCCCTACCATGTGTGGCTCTTGAGCATAGTCCTGTCAGAGTTTTTCATGCTCTACTGTGACTCCTAAGGCTGTGTGGGAGATGCACAGCCATGTTGGAATAGAAGACTCCTTCTTCTCACCATACCGCTTCCCTGAATTCTGTTCTTTGCGTGCCTCTGCCCAGCCACTGCTTCTCACTGAAGGAAGGCAAAATCCTGCCTTCCTTTCCCTTTGCCTCTGGAGGATTTCCTTGGGAGGGAAAGAGCAAGGTCTTCCTTAGCCCACTGCCCCCTGCTCCAGCCTGGAGTGCTGGAAATGGGATTGGTGACTCTTGAGGCCTCTTTGTTCTTCTGACTGAGCCTTGTCTCTGCAGTTGCTGTGAAAACATTGAGAAGTCCAGGGAAAAGCTGCAGCAATGCATGGGAATCCCAGAGCCAGGAGCCTTGTGGCTGCGTCAAAGGAACACCGAGCAGCAGAAGGAAACGTCACCCCAGGTGGAAAAGGCCCAGCAGCAGGACAGGATGGAGGTTGGTTTTGGAAATGAGACTGGCTTTCCCTTGAAAACTTGTCTTGGCCCTTCTTGTACAGTGGAGGCTGCACTGGAGGGAGAAGACCCCTCATTGCAGAGCAAGCTGGAAGTCAAGAGGCAGACACTGGAGGAATTGCAGCTTCAGAGGGATCTGCTGGAGCAAAGGAGGGATGATGTCACCATGGCTCTGGACACCTCATTGCTAGGTAGCACCTGTGGGAGTGGGAGTTGTGCCAGCCAGATCAGCCCAGATGCTGTTTCTGGCAGAAGAAGACAGGGACACTGCTGTGGACAGCTGCCTCAAAATGGCACACACCATCATTGAGGAAGGGCTCAAGGTGTACCTTGTCCTGTTTCCAGGTTTCCCAGGAGCAAGAGTCATCGAGCAGGGCTCTGGAGCAGCTGCACCAGCAATCCTCTGGCCAAGGGCAACCACTGGCCCAGGTGCACAGAGAGAAGGAGCTGCTGGGCCAGGAGAAGGCTGCCCTTAAGGGACGACTGACAGCTATGGAGCAGCAGCGACAAGAGCTAGCAAGCAGATGGCAGAGACCAGGTAAAGGCAGGGAGCAGAGCCTTTCAGATGTTTTTACATTCCACGGACATAAAATAGAAGTGTCTCAAAAAACAAAAAAGTCACAATATGAAGGTTATTTTTCTGACATCTAAAGCCAATAAAGCTCTCATGAGCCTTGGGCTCCTGTTTGTGCTGCCAAGCACATTCCTGTGGGAAGTCAAAAGCAAGCCACCTAGTCCTGAATTGAGTAGTAGTTAAAGCATGCAGAGGTTGAGTGAAACCTCAAGTTTCTCTTGCGTTTGGTTCCTTTTTGTGAGCATCCCTGGTTCATTGAACATCCCTCATTTGTTACCAAGTAGCTTGACATGATCTTGATCTTCAGAACTGAAGCCCCATCTTGAGCATTCCAGGCTCTTACCTGGGGACATTGGGAGTGTTTTGTTCTAGAAGGGGAAGTCCTGTATGTTTTCCCTTGTTGCTTGCTGCCATTGTGGGTGAAGCCAGAGGCTCCTGCTGAAAGTCTTGAGGCTTTCTGCTTCCAAGCCCACTCTTGAGAAGTGTGGGCCAGGTGCTAGGGCTGGTTAGACAGCAGCAGGGAAAGCTCTATGGAATCCTCAATGACCTCTGGGGATTCTTGCTAATTGTTGATGGGCATCCACCTGCCAAACCCACCGAGGTCCCTTTGCATGGTCCCTCTCACTCTGTAAAGAAGGACAAGCCAATTGGGCTACTGCCTGTTTAGCCAACAACACTAAAATAAAGGTGGCAAGCCTACTCCTTGACCTTGCAAGAGTTTAAACAGCAGTCTCTGCATTTAGGGTGTTGGTATTTTTTACAAGTGCTGCCATGTCCTTGAGATTTTTCTGCATCATGCCAAGTAGCTCTGAAGTCTCTTAAATACACGGTGTCTGGAAAATGATGTAACTTTATGTCCATTTTCAAGAGCATTAAAAAGTCAGGAGTTGGGCAGGACAAGAGTCTGTCCTGTCCCCCTGCAGAGCAGCTTGCAAGTGCTGATGACAGAAGGGCTGTGAGCAGAGGCTGAGACTTTGCTCGTCAGCCCATCCTGTCTGGGCACAGCTCCCCAGTGTCATAGGTCAGGAACAGCAAGTGAAGCTTTGGCTGTTGAGGTCAAGTTGGGCTGGGCTGTGTGTGCTGTGCCAGGCCATAAGGAAGGCCAGGGCACTCCCTCAGAGGGCCCTGCTTTGCTATGGAAATGGCACAAAAGTGCCTTCTCTGGACGAGTTTCCATGTGACCCATTTTCCATAGTGATGTGTGGGGATCTTGAGCCTCGTTGTCCTGGAATAACCAGCTGTGGGTGTCAGGAGCAAGCAGCTCATGTCTCTCTGTATTTGCAACTTGTAGGTCAGCAAAGGAGAGCCTGGAATCCAGCCTGTCTGCTGCTCAGCAGCAGATATCTCAGCTGGAGATGAGCAGGAACCATCTGGAGGCTCAAGTGCTCAGAGTCACACAGGCCAAGGCAGTGGTAGAAGGTGAGGACCTCGTGTGCTTTGTTTGTGGTGCCGCCCCTGCCGAGAAAAGCTAAGCACCCTGTAAAGCCACCTCTGTCCACAGGGCTTCTGAGGAGTGGTGGGGCTGGAGGTCCTGAAAGGGCCTGAGGTCAGTAAAGTCAGTAAAGACTCTGACTCCTGCTGTTGGTGATGTTTGCAGGACAAGTGAAATTCCTGCAACGAGAGCTGGAAGCAGAGGGAGCTCTCAGGAGGAAGGAACAGGAAGAGAGAGCTCAGCAGCTCATGCAGGCAGAGCAGAAGCATAAGGAAAGCCTCAGGCTTCAGGGAACACCTCAGCAAGTACAAGTAAACAAGCTCCTGCACGACCTGGTAGGGGACAATATGCTTCTGAATTGTCCGAGCTGGGCCTGTGGGAAGGTTTAGCTCAAGCAGAACCTGAGAGTGAGAAAGGGCAGCAATCCTCTGCCAGAGGCCTCTTGCTGCTGGGCTGGGCAGCAGAGTCAGCATCTCAGACTTGGAGGTGTGTGAAGCCTCCCCAGGCTGGTGCTGGGACAGCAAATGCAGCCATGGCTCCAGTGAGGGCGTAAGAGGAGTTCCAGAGCAGGTTGGGCAGTGCCCACCCAAAGTGTGACAGCCCAGGGCAGGATCATCCCTGAGTCTCTCCTGCCACGGAGCAGATGCCATCATGCAGCAGATGCCAACATGGAGCAGATGCCAACATGGAGCAGATGCCATCAGTGCTTCTGGCTGCAGGAGCGGGAACTTGGGTCCTTTCTTGCTGTGCTTCCATGATTGACACAGGGATTAGGTTTGGGCTGGAAGCCAATGGAACAGGCCCCTGGTCCTTCAGTGCTTGTGGCTGGGGCATCAGGGAGGGGAAGGTGACACCTCCTTTTGTGAGTGCTTGGGCTCAATGCTTGTGAAGGCTTTTCCCAACAGAAATGATTCCATGAGGCTGTGATTCTTGCAGCTGCTGAGCCTCCTCTTAAATTCCCAGGCAGGACATGGTTTCTGGAGTGCAGAAAGCCAGTGCTGTTGTCTTTTCAGGTTGGGGTTTGTGGGATGGATGAAGCTTCACATCTTTCAGCAAGGAGCTTGCTGGGACTTCATCTTGCAAATTTCTCCTCCCCTCCTCAGGCAAGTGAACGTGAAAGGCACCGTGCTAAGATGCTGGAACAATGGCAAGAAGAGAAGGCAAAGAGAGAGCGGGAACACGAGAAGGTGCTGCTTGAGCTGAGGCAGAAAGTTGCCACCCTGCAGGCCCAACAACAAGACGAACAAACTAGATTTGAAAAAGCCAAGCGACAGGTAATGGTTCTGAAGGGAGAACTGGTGTGATTTTTTGCAAGGCTGGAGCTGTGGAGATGGCAGGCTATGGGGGCTGTGTGGAGCATGTCCTCCATGTCCTCTCCATTGAATGTGGGCAGGTGAAAGGTGATCGGGTCTGTCTTTGGGACCAGGAATGAGCCCTCTCACAGGAAGCCAGGCAGAAACATCAGCTTTAAGTTGAGATTTTTGTGCTGCTCTTGTGTTCTGCTTTTCTAAGACATACCTCAGAGTTTCTTCACTGTTCTCTTACCACTCCCCTTCTGGTGTGTGCTGGTAGGTGTTCAGTGCCAAAGTGAGATTGCAGGACTTTTGTGGGCACAGGGAGGGTGAAGCAGAAATGCTGACAAGGATGAGAAAAATCTATTTAATGACTCATCTGGAGTATTTCTGAAGAGGAACCCAGAGATGTCTTCTGGGCTGTGTTTTAAGTCACTTCCTGGGCAGCTGTGGCTCCCCGGGGCAGACAGTGGCCCAGGGGAGCAGCAGCCAAG